AGAACTCTTAACCCCTGGGGGCAGGGGTCTTAAATAAAATCCTAAAAAAAAAAAAAAAAAAAAAAAATAGAAAGGCTTACCGCTCCCCAGACAGGAAGAAAACCCTGGCAGCCTGAGCCCCACGAGGGCACTCAGACTCCAAGTGATGAAGCTGCTCCCTCTCCTCTGCGGGCCCCCCACCCCGGGGCTGTGGTCCCTCACCCCACGCACGGCAGCCCTACCCATCTCGGTTTTTCTCCTCTGTGTCTCTGCCTCTTCTGGCCGCCGCGCCCACAGCTGGGAGGCGGGCGAGTGGACGTCGTGCAGCCGCTCCTGCGGCCCCGGCGCCCAGCACCGCCCGCTGCTCTGCCGGCAGGAGTTCGCGGGGGGCGGCTCCTCGGTGCCTCCCGAGCGCTGTGGACATCTCCCTCGGCCCAGTGCCACCCAGCCGTGTCAGCTGCGCCTCTGTGGCCACTGGGAGGTTCGCTCCCCTTGGAGCCAGGTGAGCGGGACCCGGCGGGGAGGCTGCTGGGCGGGAAGGACCCTAGAAGAACGGGCACCAGTGGGTGAGAGCAGTGGTCTCTCCAATCCTTTTGAATCAGCAGAAGCTTTTTTACTGTAAGAAGATCTCATGTGAAACCCCCGTCTATAAATCCAGTAAGACACTGAACCAGGGGTTGGGGGCCCAGAACCACCTGTTCCGCCTGCCCCTCAGCCCATAAAGCCATGTAACCCCTGAGTCAGGGACCAAAGGCAGGGCCTGGTTCGAAGGCCATGGAGCTGGAGGCTGGGGAGGAAGCTGGGGAGTCGGGGCGCTCAGAGGCTCTCCTCCCCTCAGTGCTCAGTGCGGTGCGGGCGGGGTCAGAGGAGCCGGCAAGTCCGCTGCGTGGGCAACAATGGTGACGAAGTGAGCGAGAGGGAGTGTGCGGCAGGCCCTCCGCGGCCCCCCAGCAGAGAGGCCTGTGACATGGGGCCCTGTACCACAGCCTGGTTCCACAGCGATTGGAGCTCCAAGGTGGGCCCCACACCCCTTCTCCAAGTCGTGCGTCCCTGGTGCCCCACACCCAGGACCTTTCGGACACATTTCAGTATGCATTTACCGAGCAAGCCCTATTATGTGCTGGATGCTGCTGATGCTGGGAACTCTGAGATAAGTGAGAAAAACCCACATTAGGGTCCTCGACCCCCAGTACAGCTTCCTCTTATCTGGCTGGTACCCGGGGCATTCCCTAACTCTGGGGATCCAGGATGCGCCACCCTCAGCCCCTCCTCCTCCTCCTCCCCAATCCACCACCTTCTCAACAGTGCTCCGCCCAGTGTGGGACAGGAATCCAGCGACGGTCTGTGGTCTGCCTTGGGAGTGGGGAGTCCCATGGGGCGGGCCAGGAGGGAGCAGGAGCAGGGACCAGTGAGCAGAGCTGTGCACCGGGAAGCCGTCCCCCGGACATGCGTGCCTGCAGCTTGGGACCCTGTGAGAGGACATGGTGCTGGTACACGGGGCCCTGGACCGAGGTGAGCCAAGAGCCTGGGGGGGGCGGTGCCCATCAGTGGGATTCCCTGTGGGCTGGCGGGAGTGATCTCTGTTCTCCCTTCCCCTTGCACACCCTACCCTTCCTCTGTACCAGTGCTCCTCAGAATGTGGCTCTGGCACGCAGCGTAGAGACATCATCTGTGTGTCCAAACTGGGTACTGAGTTCAACGTGACTTCTCCCAGCAACTGTTCCCACCTGCCCAGGCCCCCTGCCCTGCAGCCCTGTCAGGGGCAGGACTGCCAGGACCGATGGTTTTCTACACCCTGGAGTCCGGTGAGTGCCTGGCTCCCTTGTCCTACTAAGCAGGGACTGCCAGGGAAAGGGAGGCTTCTCTCATGGTATCGGACCGTGTCCCAGGATAAGGCCAGCTGCAGTTGGTTCATCATTGTCCCACTTCCTGTAGATGTGGAGGACAGGTGGGCCCTGTCCATGTGGGATTTCACAGTGTTCCAGGAGAGGCCCCCCCCCCCAAGCACACACATGCACACACTACTTTCAGAGAAGGAGGTGGCCTGGGGTTCAGGAGGAACCTGGTCATAGCGAGGGTCTGATTTGATAGCGGGGTCTCCGCAGTGTTCTCGTTCCTGCCAGGGTGGTATGCAGACGAGGGAGGTCCAGTGCCTGACCGCCAACCAGACCCTCAGCGTCCGGTGCCCTCCTCACCTGCGGCCCTCCAGGAAACAACCCTGTAACAGCCAACCCTGCAGCCAGCGCCCTGGTAAGGAGACCTTTTTCCCCCCTAGCCCCCAATACAGTGGAGCTAACTGAAGTATGGGGGAGATGAGAGAGGACCAGTGGGAGTGGGCACTGCATCTCCGGAGGGAAGGGTCTGGGTGACATGCCCACTGGCCTCCTCTGTCCCCAGATGATCAATGCAAGGACAGCTCTCCACATTGCCCCCTGGTGGTACAGGCCCGTCTCTGCGTCTATCCCTACTACACAGCCACCTGCTGCCGCTCTTGCGCCCATGTCCTGGAGCGTTCTCCCCCAGAGCCTGCCTGAAATGGGCCCAAGAGACCTTCTCCTCATGGTTTCCTCGTGCCACCATCAGTCACCCACCCATCGGCCCACTCTGTACTCTCTGGCTCTCCAGCCCGCCCTAGTCTCATCAGGGACGCCCCCTAGGGTGGTTGAAGGTGGCAAGGTGACTATCAAGATGTGTGGTTGGGTGTGTGTGTGGTGTGATGGTGTGTGTGCACACACGCCCCCAGTGTGTATCGGGGCCTGCATGGATGTTATGTGCTCATACACGTATATTACTTCCCCCCAAGAAGAAGTGAAACAGACTGAAGAGGAGTGGAGAGGGGACAATGCCTGTTGCCCTGAGACTTTTCTAGGCTGAGAGGAAAGCAAGTTTGCAGCTCCTTAGTCATGCAGACTGCCTAGCAACTGGCCCCCCCATCGACCCCAACTTTGTGCCCTAAACTTCAGTTCTCATGTTGAGGCCTCACCTCTTCTAAACCACCATTATCGTCTGACCGCTTCTCCCCACACTTAGTCTCTCTATCCCTACCTCTCATCATCAGCTAGGGATGATGGGGGTCAGCCCCTGCCAATCCTGCCTTACCCCAGGAAGAGAGGCTACCTCCCCAGAGCAGGGACGCTGGGCAGAGGATGGGAAAAAGAAAAAATAGAACAAGACACCCTAGCCCCTGCTCCCACTCCACACCTCCTAAAATGGTTCCCACCCCAGAACTAATTTATTTTTTATTAAAGATGATTATGACAACTGAGAAACAGGCTCTTTATTGTCCTGATGGGAACCCAGCCACCTGGGCCACCTAAACAAGCAGCGTGAGGTCAGACTGAGGGGTGGGAAGGGGGAATAGCACCTATGGCCCAGGCGGAGAGAGTCTGGGCCCAGAAAGGCTATTAAGTGAACCCCAATCCCGGGAAAGGATCCTGGCCAACCGTAGGTTGGTCATCGACCACTAGAGGTCACCACTTCTCCCACTTTAGGTATGGAGTTGGGAGCTTGTTTCCAGAGCTGAGGAAAAACTGCATGGCCTACGGTGGGTTTCTCCGTAGGCTCTTTCTGTAAAGTCTCGTAGAATCTAGTAGCCCTGCTTTCAGTTTGGGGCTGAGTTGAACAGCGGTTGGCTTTGCAGGGGTCTTTTCTCCTGTTCTCTTTCTTTGGCCCTCCCTGCCTGCCTCCCCCGTCCTTTGTGCTGTCACCCAGTTCCCTACGGAGGTCTTGGTTTACTGCTTTTGCTAAGGTGGGGGGAAAGGAAGTGATTTCTGCCCCTCCCCCCCGCCCTCAGCGGAAACGCCCGGAGGAGGAGGGGCCTGGCCTGGCCCTACGGGACTTAGGGCGGGGTCGGGGGTGGAGCCAAGGCAGTACTGGATGTCCTGCCAAAGACACATTCTTCAGAGATGTATCATCCTAGTCTCCCTCCCTTCGCTCTTGTCATCTCTCAAGGTAAAAGCTTGCTAGAGGTGGTATGAGAGCGGGCAGCCTTTTTCATAATACAGATCCTTTCCCTGACCCCTGCGGTTCTGAGGTCTGAGTTCCAGGTCTCTGCTTCTGGAAGCCAGATTTCTTGGGGTTCCCTGTGTCTAGGCAGATTTCTTGGGGGTTCCTGTGTCTAGGAGAGGAAGGGGGGCAGTGCAACAGAATCAGACTCATCCCCATTGGAAGCATCCCTCCCCCATCTCTGCATCCCCGCAAGTCTGACCAAGTAAGACCCTGAGTAAAGGCCTGTGGTAACAGTTGAACTCAGTGACTACTATTTCCTTGAACACACCGAGACCCTGTGAAGGATACCAGAGTTGCCCGAGGATATAGGATTTCTACTCTAGCAGCAATCTGGGGTCATGCTGTTACCTTGGGACGTAGACTTTTCTTGGGTTGGAAGTGGCTGACAAGGAAGACTTTGGGCAACGTTTTGGGAGGAGAGTGGGTGAGGAAGGAGGCCAAGGGAGTGGAGGGAGAGGAAAATGAAACTGACGAGCCCCGGGGAAGGAGTGAGGAAAAGGACAAGGCGAGCCCAGTCTCGGTGTCTCTGCTGAGCCTAAAGACGAGGTATTAGACATGTTCTTCTCTCTCTGGTGAACCTGTAAGGGGATCAGAGATGTGGGGGACCAGGGAAGTGGGACCTGAGCCAGCCCAGTAGATAACCGAGGGCTGCAGGCCGAGTCCTAAGACCAAGGGAGGGGTGGCAGTGAATAGCTGGGGCCCTCCCAGCGATTCCTGGAAGCGGCAGCCTGGGCGGTGGCCCCAGCTCAGCTGACTTCTCCGAAGTTCCCCTCCCTCTTAGGGCCTCTCAGGGCTGTTGCTGGGCAGGTTTGGAGTTTGGCCTGAGTCTGAGAACCAATCACAGGTGGGGAATGCAGCCACAACCCCTCTTAGGGCACCCCCAGCTTCAGCACCTCCTTGCTCTTTGTGGTTGCCCCTGAGCTCCCTCACAGCCACCAGCCTCTGACTTCTCAGGATATGGGCTTTCGTTTGGGGGGGGGGGGTTGCCCCCTTTCCCCTTTCATTTTAAAGCTAGGATGCAGTGCAGCCCCTGAGGATTCTTCCCTCTGGTCGCTGAAGTCAGTATGGGGTCAGTGTGGAAGCTTTCAGGAAGGGGAATTTGACCCAGAGCAACCCCTTTTCCTAGTCCCTTCAAGGGGAGTAGTGTGGCCAGACACCTCTCCTTTGACCTCTGAAACCCTCTAGAGGGACTTGGGAGAGAGGAAGCTGCAAGCAAGGCCAGAGAGATGTGGTGGAGGGGCCCCAGGGTTTGGCGCACTGGGGGGAATTTAGGGAAGGACACAGAGGAACTGGACCCCTGAGAATTGAGGTGGGGGTGGGGTAGTTATAGGAACAATCTTGATAATGCACAAGAGAGATCAAGTGTGCAGAAACCAGCCAGCGTCTTGCTGAGTGCTCCTCATTTCTGAGTGTTTGCTGGGGGAAGGGGATTGTAGTTCTCTATCAGTGTACTTGGGGGTGAACTTGTGAGGTCTCAGTTCAGCTGGGTCAGAATTCCTCTCCCCTCCCCCCTCCCGGCTTCCCCAGGGTAACTACCCACCCGATTAAGCTGCAGCCTTCAGACTAAATTTATCTCCTAGACTTCCCCAACCCCCTGGGCCTCCCTGCAAGCAGGTGCTCACAGCTGCAGGGGTGGGTCTGTGGAGACCCACACTCCTCACTCAGCCAGCTTCAGCCTTCCAGCTAACCAGGAGTGAGGCAGAGCGCAGGGCCCACCGGCTGGCCCGGGGCATGTGTCACGGCCTTGAGGCTCCCTCTCTCAGTAGCCCTTCTGAGCAGAAATATGGTTGGAGGGACAGAGTGGGAGGAGGGATGGAGTGAGAACAACATGCAAGGAGAAGCTCCCCTTCAGATTCTCTCCAACCAGATCCTCTTTCATTTTTCACTATCCCCTTCTGCCTAGTTTTACAGATAGACTTCGTTTTATTTTTATTTTTTAGAGACTTCACTTTAACTTAACCTGTTCCCCGACTAGAGTGAACTGAATCAGGGAGCCCTCCCCTCTCCTTGAACCACAGAGAATCAGGCTAGAGATCGTAGTTTGGGTGTATGTGGTAGAGGTTCCCACGTTCCCATCCTCTCCTACTGACACCCCTCAAATCCACCATCTCTGGCGCTGGGAGACAGCTGGGTGGGGAAGTTAGAGCAGAGGGGGCCTATTTGTCACAGGCAGGTGATGAAGAGGTGTTAGCTTTCAAGGGCGGGGGCGGGGCATCTTCCACAGGAAGTATCTTTCTTCAGGAAAGTACCTAAGTCTGAGTCTTTCAAGAGCAATAAACAGTTTGGGTTAATCTCAAACTAGACAATACAAGTTCTGAATCTGACTTTGGGCCCTTAACCCAGGAGACTGGGGAAATTCTAGAGGGTGTTTTGGGGCTGAGGTCTGAAGGTAGAGAGAATTTGAGGGACGAATGTGCAACACTAGTCCAAAACAAGGTACGCGTGAGGCATGGCAGTCAGACCCTAGGGAAGAAAGCAGGCCTATCAGCTGAAGGGGAGGTGCAGAAGGAAGTGGACAAACCAGGGCATTTCCTCGGGCAGCACCAGAGAACTGCTGGAGCGGCCTGGGGAAGGACCTCAGTAGGGGAGGGATGGGCTCAACCTAGGAAGATCCCTGGTCGGGGTTAGGATGTGCAATGCTGTACTTTTCTGTGCCTTACCTCAATCTCTTTAAGACACAGCTCTACAGGGGCACCTGGCTGGCTCAGTCAGTGGGGCATGTTTGGGGTCGTGGGTTCAAGCCCCAAATTGGGCATAGAGCTTACTTTTTTTTTTTTAAGATTTCATTCATTTATTTGACAGAGATATTGCCAGAGAGGGAACACAAGCAGGGGGAGAGGGAGAGGGAGAAGCAGGCTTCCCGCCGAGCAGGGAGCCCGATGCGGGACTCGATCCCAGGACCCTGGGATCACGACCCGAGCCGAAGGCAGACACCCAACGACTGAGCCACCCAGGCGCCCCCATAGACCTTAAAGAAAAAAAAGACACAATTCTACAGAATGTTGAATGAGGAGGAAACGAAACCAGGAAAGATGGTAGGGTTGCTTCTAAAAAGGAGGAGACCGTGTCCCTGGGATCCCTGGGCTAAAAGGTATGGTGGCAAAGGCCCTGCCGCTGATGAGAGGGACAGAACTGATCTGCCCTTGGAACCAGAGTACCCTTCCTTTCATCTCTCCCTCCCCACCCTGCTACTGATTCCTGGTTGACCTGCCTCTTTCATCACATAATGTGACTCCTTTTTGGCTCTGGTAGAGGAGTGAGCAACCTTTTTCTCTGAAGGACCAGAGAGTAAATATTTTGGGTTTGCGGGCCATAGAGTCTCTGTTGTGACCAATCAACTCTGCTCTTGTAGCACAACAGCAGCCAGAAACAACATGTAAACAAATAGGCCATGGTTGTATTCAAACTTACGACACTGAAATTTTAATTTCATGTAAGCTTAACATGTCACAAGGTTTTTCCAACCATTTAAACATGCAAAAATCACTCTTAGCTTGCTGGCCATATAGGCACTAGGGCAGATTTGGCAGGCAGGTAGTTTACTGACCCCTGGGATTTTTTCCATCTGGCTGAACTTCTGCTCTGCCTGGCCATGGAGAATCCTGTTTGTGTCACCTCTGGCCTTCACAATATAGCTGTAGAACCTTTTTAAGGTCCTGTCTACTGATGTCTGCTTCCTAGTGGCTTCTTCCAGGGAATTCAGTGACTTGGAAATGGCTAATAGAGTAAACCCTTAAGCGACATTTCCTGACATTCCTTTTGTATAGTGCTTTAGGGTAAAGCAATTGTATATATTCTCTTTAAACCATCACAATAACAAAATAGGGTACAGGGGAGAAAACAAAGGCCTGAGACCTAGGGTAGTCTTTTCACTCTTTAAATTCTACCTAATTCCTTTGTTCTGTTACTCAATTTCACTCCTATAAGGCACCCTTTATCAAAATACTCAGTAATTTGGGCCACAGTGATCCAGAACTTGGATGGCTGTGTTTTTATTGTTTTCAAATGCCTTTCATGACTTGCCAGCATTTTAGGAAAATCCTAAGTTTTCTTTTTCAACCCAAAGTTTCAGGGAATTAAAAATACTTTCAAATGTATTCAGCATTTGGGGCACCTG